GGAGCTTTGTGTCTGTTTCCAGAGAGCCCGACATCCCCGCCGGGGCTCCTCTGCTCTACCAGCTGCAGCTGCTGGACGTCAGCGACAAAGCCGACCCGCTGAATTTGCCGCTCTCCGATCGCATCCGCGCCGGCAACCGCAAGCGGGAGAGAGGCAACTTCCATTTCCAGAGGGAGGAGTACGGCAAGGCCGCGAGAGCCTACCGGATGGCCCTGGACGTGCTCACCACCTGCGGCGGGGGTACGGCTTCTCACGACGTGTCCGTCGGCGCCCGCGCTTTGGCCTCAAAGCGCTTCCATGTGACGCCGCCGTGAAAAGCGTTGGCGTTTCCTTGCGCTGCGGTCGCCGCCGACAAAGCTCCCAAATGAAGCGCTCCCCTCCGTTCGGTCCATCCGTCAGTTCGACCTAATTGACAAAGCGACCGGAGGAGGCGACTCAAAGTGAACGGCACGAGCAAATCCCCTTCTGGGCCCTCCCGCGTTTGGAGGCCAATTTCCGGCAATGCCCGCCGCGACCCCGCAAAGGCCGCACGCGGCTGCCGAAAGGCGCAAATGCGCTCGCTAACGCGGACGGGTGGCGGCAATGTTTCCTGCCGCGCGCAGGGCGGGGCTTCGGGGCGCCGCGCCGAGTTGTCGTTCAACCTCTCACCAAACGCCTTCCCCCCCTCCCGCAGATGCCGGCGAGGAGGACGAGCGAGAGGTGCGCCACTACCGGGTCAAGTGTTTGAACAACCTCGCCGCGGCGCTGCTCAAACTGGAGCGGCGCCGGGAGGCGCTGCGCGCCAGCCGCGACGTCCTGGCCCTCCAGCCCGACAACGTCAAGGCCCTCTACAGGGCGGGAAAGGTCAGGTGCCACAAAAAATCTGCAGCGATGCCAGCTTGCGCTCGTTTCGTCCCCTCGGGGCGACCGCCGTCCACACGGATTTGAACTCAAGGGTAGCGAACGGGCAGTCGCCGTCGTTCGGGATTTCATTGGACAGAAACGTGCTTTTTGGGGCACAGAGGCGTGTTCCAATTGGGGGGCTTGGGCTGAAGGGGGTCCATCAAGTCGCCATCCAACGAGGAATGGCACGCCGTCGCCGTCTCTGGCATGACCGCGTGTACGCGCAGAAAAGAAAAGAGCGCCGACGGGCTCTGCGCCCAACAAGGTTGTTGGGCGTTCCCGCAACAAAATGCCTTCAAATCCACAAATGGCCATCGGCCAAACAAAGTGCAATTGGAGCGCCGGTCTTCGCCGATGACTGGCAGACCGGAGCTTTCGGGCTTCCCTTGAAACGGATTCGCCGCATTTCGGGAAGAGCGAGAGGGAGGTGCCATGACCACGAATACGTGGACTGTACCATGGACTGTCGAACTTTGGTCTATATTGGACGGCGGATATAAATAAATGATCCCAAAAAAAGCCTGTTGGGAATAAAGACGGTGCCACTTGAGAGGCCAAAGTCGCTCCTTCCACTCGGTGCTGGGTGACGTCCGTCACGCGAGCCATCCCGAAGTGACCCTTTGGAAAAGACTCGCGTCCGCTCTCGTTGCGCTTCTGAACGCGGACGCTCGGCTGCCGTCAAGCGCGGAGCCCGACGGATACGGTGAGAGACGGGGCCGGCCGGCGGCCAGCCCAAAAATCTCTCAAAATCCTTCTCGAGCATTCGCCTCAAGGCGACGAGATGAACGACACAAAACGAGAAGCGCTTTCTTGAGCGACTTGAGTGCGTTTCCAAAAGCGGCCCCTTCGTCCTTCCCTTTCTCTGCACGCGGCCCTCCAAGCAAAGCGCAACTAATCCAAAGTCATCAGAACAAAGCAACCCAAAAACGTCCAAAAGCAAAGCGGCGCGCGTGGCCGCGCGTGGCGACTTCCTCCCTTGTGAAAAACCCTCGTGGCCTTTCCTCAGATCCTGTCGGACGCGAGCGACTACGGGGAGGCCGCGGAGCTGCTGAAGAAAGCCTTGAAGCTGGAGCCCGCCGCCAGGGTGAGACCACCGACGTCCAGCTCGCCGCTCGGCACCCGCGCGCCACGCCGCGCCGCTCCCGCTCGCGGCGGCCCCCTCCCTGCTCTCGGGGAAGCTGCAAGCGGCCATAAAATTCCAACTTGCTGAGATCTATTGGCTCAAATCAATCAAGTCTATCGGTGTGAACGGGAACTCGCTGGCCTTGGTCCAACGGGCTTTCTAGTTGCGTTGAGTTGACCGGAATCGGGCGTACCGGCTTTGCTGCGGATACGCGTCGTGCCCCCCCCCCAAAAACAACGACAGGGAGAAAAACGGCGCGCGGGCCGCTGGTTGGGAGCCTGGTTGCAGGCACCGCTTTGTTTGGATTTGCGTTGTCGAAAATTACAAAAGCGGAGAAACGGATCGTGGAGCGGCGGCGTTCCCCCCCCGGCGCTTCGCATACGACAAAGTGGCCGAGTTGTTCTTTCTCAAAGGCGGACTTTCTTTTCCTCAGGCCATCCACGCCGAGCTTTCCAAGCTCGTGAAGAGGCAGTCGGGCGGCAAGGCCGCACGCCATCGGAACGCGAAGCCCGCCGAGATGTCGGGCGACGACGTCGCACCTTTTCTCCTCCCCTCCGGACCGACATCGGTCAGATGACAAAAGAAAAAAAACCCCACGGCAAAAGCGACGATGCCCAGGGTGTCCCTCACCTGCCCTCGCTCGGTTGTGTTTCAGCCCATCTCGTGGAAGTTGATCGTGGGAGCTCTGCTGGTGGCACTGGGCAGCTTCGTGACGTCGCTCGTCCTCACTGCAAGGAATTGAAGACTTGAGCATCCTCGCTCGCTTCCGCCTCCTTTTTTGCCATCAAGTTCAAACTCAGTCATTGTCAGGGACGTCTTGTCTTTGAAGAATCCGCACATTTACTTCCAGGTACTGGACATATTGGCATAACGGAGGCACTGAAAACGGCTGGCCTTGAAAAAATGAAGGTCACTCATCAAGAGAGAAAAGGCAAACCTTTCGGAGGAAATCGAGGTCGAGTTGCAGTTTGGCACACGGAGGGGCGCAGTGAAGCTGACAAAATAAGGAGCGAGCCTTCCTCAAGAGCCACCGACTTGTTTGTTGCCTCTCCACGCCCGAACACCAAACAAATGTGACGCGCTCAACCCGCAGCAACCGCAGAGCTTCGCTTTGACCGCCGCAAAGGGAAATGCCGAAGACCTGATTGCGCGTGCGTCTCCGTGGCCGTTTTGTGATCGGCCATGAAGCCGCGGCCATTTGAACGCAACGGAAGCGACGAGCAATCGCTTCTGGACGGCCGGCTCGCGCTGCCCCCCGGTGGCCGAGGCGCGTACAGCACGTCCGCCGAATCGGCCCTGGCGACTGAGCGCCGTCGGAGGCGTGGCTCAAGCCTTGACTCCGCCCACGCGGATTCGCTCGCCCTTCCCAAGAGCGCAGCGGGGCCAACTTGGCGACTTTCTCGCTCTTTTGAGAGAGAGAGAGAGAGACGGCAGTCGGCAGGAACGAGCGGCGGTACGTCTCCTTCTCGCGGCGCGGGTGTATCGCTCTCTGGCTGAAGGAGCTGCCGGGGTGGGCCGGAGGGTCTGTCCATCGTAGCTGTCAGCTGTCATCCTCTCGTTGCCCACCTCCTCCTCCTCCGGCGTGTCCGAGGCTGGCCCGCCTGATCGCGGAGGAGGCTTGATCTTGTGACAAGAAAAGAAACCAGAATCGACAAAAGAAAGTCCATCAACAGATTTCGTTTTTTTGAACTCATCTGACACGACGCGACTCCTCTTCGACAGCGCGCACGTGGTCAATGACGCACATGGAGGGATGGCGTCATTGAGCGACTTTTAGGACAGCCGACGGCTACTTTCCTGCCCGAGGCGGTGGCAACGTCGCTTCAAACGATCAGCTTATCCGCAGAAGCCTGACGGCGATCCCGATTCGAATCCCGCGCGTGGGAGGAGGGAAGCATCTCGAACGTGCGGGATAGCGGCCCTCGGATTCGGACACCGCTGGCCGAGACGCTCAAAAGCCACGTTCGCTTTGACGCGTTTTTTTCGGGGCCCCGAGAAGACTCGGGAACGCGCTTCCGGGTTCACCCCGAACGGAGAGAAGGGTCCAGCTGCAGGCCCGGAGGAGGCCGACCACAGCCACTTCCGTCGTATGTCTACCATAGCCTAAATCTACCTCCTCCGAGTCTGCAGCTGGATATTATTGCGAACGGACGTCAAAACAGTTCCGCCCCGACTGACCGCGGCGGCCCGGTCTCTTTCATTTTCCGCCTTCAACGCAACTCAATTAAGAACGCGTGACGTCACAAAACGACATCTTCTTAAACCCGCCAAGAAAACGGCTCGAGCCCAAAAATCGAAGAGAAAAAGACGGCGCGATTGCTCAGTTTGTCGTGGCCAACACTGTGCATTCTCCACCAAAAGACCGCCCGAAGCGCAATTCTGAGCCAATCTTCCCAGAAAATTTTATTAGAAAACACTTGTAATTGAAGAAAAGTGCAATGACCAGTGAATGTGTTCAGATTGCTCGACCGCATCCACCGAGGTCGGATAAAATAGTTCCAAAAATACTCCTCGTTTCATTCCACCTCAGATTTTAAAATGGGGGAGAAGAAAAAAAAAAAAAAAAAACCCAAAAACTAATCACATGCAGGTTGGGCTTGCAAACCAGTAAAATGCGATTCGTGTGAAACTGTGGAATGGGTAAAAGTACTTACAAGCCAATAAATACAAAAATATACAGCATATTTGTACAGGTGGTCTTTCCAGGCCATGGAGGGGGGGGCAGCCTTCATGACCAAAAATTCCATCTCCATATACAAAAAAATAAAAATAAAAAAGTTTTGATTCCAAAGTGCATCTACAGGCGGCAGCATGTGCCAAAAGTCTTCTTGGCATTTGTGGCCAAAAGGTCCACCGGAGACGTTTTGTGTTTCACTTTCACCTTCTTCTTCACTTCTCTTCAAAAGGAACGAAAGAGAGCGGCACAAAGTCAGCAAAGCGAACGAAGCACGTTCCCAAAGGCCGAGAAGCGGAATCCCCCCCAAACCCACCTGGCCAGATGGAGCACCGCCTCCACCACGTTGGTCCCTTCTTTGGCGCTGGTTTCGCAGAACAACGCGCCGTATGCCTGCAACGCATCAACGCTGAAGCTCAACGAGTCATCGAATGCAAATGGAGATCGCCTTTGGCGTTTTGCCAACGCGCTCCCCCTGTTTCCACGGGACCGTCGGATGAAAAGGTCCAAAGTTGACCCTCGCGTCGACGGTCGGCCGATACGTTGCTTATTGACATACGGGTGACGGATCGGCCGTTTGTTCACAACGGAAAGAAACAAACGCTCGCACATTCAAATCCAATCGGAGTATTGCGGGAGCAAAAACAAACCCAAAAAAGTGCATCGTTTTCATCGTTCGGCCCTCCCTCCCGCACAAGTTCAAGCAGAAATGCCGGTGACGCCGCACGTGTGCATGAAAGTGAAAAGCACAAGACGTTGCACACGGTGGACATGCAAACTCGAGACAATCAGGCCTGCGTGGACACAAACCAAGGCCAAGGCGCGCCTGAACACGCAAGCGACGGGCACAAACAAACTTGAGCCGGCACCTTCCCCTTTTGCCTCGGATGAAAAGGGGCCCTTATTTCTGCAGCCACCCCCTCCCCCTTTTTTTTTCATCAACGTTTCAAGAAATGGGTTTCCTATGATGTGGGAATATCAATGCAACATCTGGCGCGCAGGTATGAGCGAGCCTCTCTTCCTCCTGCTCAATACAAACACGGCGGAACGTCGGCGCATCCCCCGATAAGCTTCGGACAAAAGGGAACCAACCGCGAGAGACACGTTGGCCAAGCGAGCGCACGCGAAAAGCGAGAGAGCAAAGGGAGCGCAGCTCGGGCATACTCAACGGACCGTGGCCAACTTCTCTCCGTGCAAAGTGCTGACGCAGCGTCTGGCGGGCGTCTGGCCTCTCATGTCCACCTTGTTGCCGATGATGCAAACGGGAACCGTGTCCTCGGTGGCGTCCTGGGTGAGGAGCGCCAGACACCAGCGGCTTTAGCCAGGCGCCGTCCGGCCGCTGCGCTGCGCTGCGCTGCTGCGGCGGCTTACCTGGATCTGATCCAGCCAGTCTCGGATGTTAAGGAAGCTGCTCTCCGAAGTCACGTCGTACAAGAGCAGAACGCCGTGAGCTTTGCGGAAATAAGAGCGGGCGATACTGCGGAACCTGCGGCCACCAAAAGAAAAAACAGGCCCGGCCTTAAACACAATCCACAATTGCTTTCCCTCAAACAACAAAGTCGATATATGTCGATGTATTTGCACTCGTTCAATGACTTCATTTTCTTTTAGCTCCCTCCAGTGGCAAGCAGAGGCATCGCTGAAATAAGTGCATCATAGATGTTGAGTTTTTTTTGTTTTTTTTTTTTTACGCCAGTCCTCGTTATGGCGTCTAGTGACTTTTTAGGCATCCCAAGTACGAACGAGTGGTACGGCTCCTCGCAGAGCTGAGGATCGTATGGATCCAGGCGAGCGAGCGCGGCACCTTTCCTGTCCGGCCGTGTCCCAGATCTGCAGGTTGGTCTTCTGGCCGTCCACGAGCATCTTCTTGATCTGGAAATCCACCCCTGACGGCCGAGAAAAAGGCACGAGCGTCAGCTCCCGCGCATGGTCCGCCGCTACGCGCAGAGGAGCGGTTCGGCCGGAGGCATTTGCGCGGAGGGCGACGCACCCAACGTGGTCTGGATGTCGGCTTTGAACTGGTTGAGCGCCAGCCGCAGCAGGAAGCTGGACTTGCCCGCACCGGCGTCTCCGGCCAGGACCAGGCGGTACATGGGCACGGCGTCGTCCGCGTGGGCCGCCTCCGGCTCCGCCGTCTGAGTACCCCACCCCCCCCCAAAAAAAGGAGTTTATTTTTGCAACTTCCAGCGCTTTTCTTCAAAGATCTGACTTGGCTGACTCGTCTCAAAATGTACTCTCTTACACACAAAACAACTCGACTCTCGTAATGAACAACTAGGAATTTATTCTCATGGCACTGCGGAAAATGTCGATTTTTTTTTTTCTTGAATTCACAACACATTGTTTCCTCTCCCTTTATTATTGCTGCCTCGGATAACATTTTTCATTATGATTATGAAATGACGATTTCCAAAAAGGATATTGAGGGGAGAAAAAGTATTCTTCACAAATGAAGGTTTGTGGTATTTTTGCTCAGAATTCGGAGACTTATCCAGCACGAAGCTTCGCCGTTCGTTGGACTTCTAGTCACTCGCAAACGTAAAATGCTCCGTACGTGCGCTCAGAGGAGCGCCTTTTGATTTTAGTTTGGGATACGCGGGTGCATATGAACAAGCCACTTGTGTATAAACATGATGTGAGAACAAGGACTCGATGAGTTTTTGGACTCTTTGAATATGTCAAAGGCACTCAACTGGGACATCGACCGATGACCCGTCCTTTCCTTTTATTCTAGATTTCGTCATTCGTCGCTATGTTCAATCAATCAATCGTTAAGTACTGAGCTCCTGTTGAAAGTATGAAGACGAGTCAGTCGTGCGACATTCCGAGCTATTCGGTGCCAACTTTTTCCCTCGAGGTCCAGGGCGTCAACTTGGACTGCCATCTGGTGGCCAACTAACAGAACGCAACGACCTAAACTCGGAAGCGCGGGTCGAATTGTATTTTTGGGGGGGCGCCGCCCTCACAGTCGACACGGTCGCGCGCGAGACTTTGAATGCGTGCGGCTTGGCCTGTTGCGTGCCACCGAGTCAGCGAAGAGTTGCCTGGCTGCGAACTGGCGAAAAGCCTTGGCCGCTTTGCGCCTCGGTGCGTGTATTATTTTTTATTTTTTTGAACTTTGAAGCGAGTGAAAGTGCGTCGGCGGGCGGGCGCGTCTTACCTCTTTGGCAAAGGCAGACAACTGCTTTCGCATGGATGACGCGTTGGAACTTCCCAAGCTCTGCGCCAAGGACAGCCCCGCCTCAGACTTGGTGTCCAGCAACTGCCGGGCGAAGACAAAGAGCGAGTCCAATCACGCCGCCCGGCCAAGTCGGCGCCGGGCCCGGGCGACCCCGCCCCCGCACCGACCTCGCCGTCGGAGTGGGCGCAAGAGTAGCTGCGGTGGACGGTCTCGGTGGAGCCTCGGCCGTCGTCCGTGTCCAAGTCCATATCGGTGTCCAGGTCGCTGACCGAGCTCTCGCTGGCGTCCGGGGGCAGCGAGACGCCGCTGTCCAGGTATTTGTCGGCCCACAGGGACACGTCGGACATGCTCGAGCTGCCGCGAGCGCACACGGTAAAGGCAAGTCGACGACTCCCGAGGTCAAGGCAAACGCGGCTGCGTTTTCATTTCAAACATCGCAAATCGAGTCAAGATTGCCAACGCCGCCACGTTTTCGACGGAACAGAGACAATTCAACAAATCCTCTTCAAGTATTTTCAACTCATAACTCCAAAACAACTCAACAAAAAGAACATGAGGCTGCAGAGCTGAATCAAAAATCAAAAGGGACGATGTTGCATTTGTCCCTCCAACTTGACTTTCCCTCCTTATTTTTCAGGGTCATTTCCTGCCATTCCCAAAAACATTTGAGCAAGTCCCTCCCGTGAAACGCAAAGCTCGGAGCCCACCTGTGGTGCTTGAGGGTGCTCTGCCTGACGGGCTTCATTCTGCGAGCGGGCGCTTCGTTCTTGGCAGGGACCTGCAAGCAAACAAACGAAGGAGGGCTCAGCGTCGGCCTCCGACCGACCGACGCGACGCGACGCGCGACCACAAAAGTAGCCCGAGCGGCGCTTGCCTTGCGCTTGACTTCCGATGCCAACGCCGAGCGCAAGCCGTCGTTGCTGTCGCACAGCTGCTTGTTCAAGTCCCTGCCGGGAAACATTGGGGGTCAGCTGGGGGGGACGTGGGGGGGTTCAACAGGCTGCGCGTGCACACACACAAAGCGGAGCGGCGCAAGAAAGGACCTTACTGTAGAATCTGGACTTGACTGGAGTAAGACTCGTACTCGATCACCATCTTCTTCAGCTGGTTGGTTTCTCTGCGGCCGCAAAGCAAAAGCGAGGCGTGACGACGACAGACGCGGAGCCGGTCGGGCGGCGGCGCCGCTCACCGTTCGCGCTGAGCCCGCTCGTCGGCGTACATGTCCTTCAGCTTGTCCAGCTCGGAGCGCAGCGCGCCCACGTCGCTTTGGGCCTCCAGCAGAGACGAGCGCAGCTGCTCGTTCTCCTGACGAGAGACCAGACCGGACCAGACCGGGCAGGCCGGCGGTGAGCGCCACACGTGCCTCACCTGCGAAAGTTGGCCCACGTGTCGGCCGACGTCAAGCTGCTCCTCCTTGGATCGGGCCGACCGAGACTCGGCTTGACTCTACGCCGCAAAACAAAAAAAAAAAAAAAAAAAGAAGACTTCATCCTTCACTTTAGCCAGAAGCAAATATTCCTACGACAAGAAAGCCTTGAGAAAAGGCTGAGGGGAAAGTTTGTGTGCCAGAAAAGGAAAAGGACGACCCCCGAGGAACACAAACTCCGCCCTGACAATAGCGGAGTGACTTTTTGAATGAAGAGGAGCCATTTGGATGGAATGCGCCGGCGTGTTTTTGCAAGCGAGCGAGCGGGCGGGCGGCTCTCTGGAGCGCCTTCAAAGCATTCGCTCCAAATGGCCTCCTTCCGACGCAATTGAGCGCCTCCGGTACTCAAAGCCCTTCTGGGCTTTGAAAAGGGTTCTTTGACGGCAAAAAAAAGCTGCCGCGGGGGCGGTGAGATCAACCTCCGGTGCGGCGTCCCGGCATAACACGACTGCGGAACGTGCCTTGCTCTGTCCCAGAACCCGTTTTTCTGGACGCCGCGCATGCCGCATGTCACGATTCGAGAGGGCAAGCGGACGAGCTAAAAAAAGACATCTGGGAGCTCGTCGTCAACTGGCTCGCTCGCACAAAATTTGGACGGCCGAGGTTTGCCAGCTTGGAAGAGCGCGCGCTTCCGACGGGGAGACGCGACGCAGGCCTCCGCTTCCCCGTTTCTCCAGGTTGGACCTTTGTTCGAACGCCGATGACGTCGCCCCCTCAGCCGCTCCCAAGCGGCTCGCCGCGCTCGGAATTTTCGGCGTGTGAAAAGCAACGGAGCCGGAAAGCCCGAGCGCAAATCGCCTTTGACTTTTGTTCTGGCGGAATCCGTGTCTTTTGCTTTTGCCTCCAAGCACAAGTCGGTGCTCGCGCCGTCTATGTCCCGCGCAGCGGGTCACCAGACTTGTACTTGTCGCTACGGCCCCTCCATGTGGCGAAATGTGACTCGCCTGTTGCCCTCGTCCAAGACGGGCTTTGAATTGGACCCGAAAAGCTACGCGGCACTCTCGCTGCCTGTCCGTTGAATTGGCCGCCCGCCCGCCCGCCAGCCGGCCAGCCTACCTGCAGGAGTCGGTCCACGGTGGCCTGCAGGTCCGCAATCTGGTCTTCGTGTTTCCGCTGCAGGTTCCACAGGACTTCTTCCATTTTTTTGCGCTCCTTCAGACACAAAAGCCAAGCGGTCAGAGAAAGCGCTGGAATCCGACCGTTGACAGCCCCCCCCGACGGCGATGTGTCTACTCGATGAGTACGCACGACAGCCCACAACAGACTTTGGCTGGCGTACAATTGCTGTCAGTTTTGCGCAATAGTTTTGGTTTTTTAGCGGCGCCGACGTCGCGGAATGCCGACGGGACGAGCTCAAAGTGGCGGCACGCGCAAAACATTTTCATTCAATGGTTGCTCAAGTACAACAACGATTATGAGCTATGCCGCTGCTTTGTTGGGAATACGACGTGGGGTCTCATCTTTGACAAAATGTCACTGTGAGTCATGATGCCGGCATGTGCGGGCCGAGCCTTTTGGCGGTGTCAAAAGTCGTGCGTGCGCGCGCGCGTCTCGAAACGCAGGCCTCACCTCCTCCCTGGCCCTTTGCTCCGTGCCCGCAAGTTGCTTCTGCATGTCGTCCTCGAGTTGGACCAGCCGGCCGCCGCTCATGTCTCCCGCTCTGCTCGCACACAAACGCGCGTCAACGCGCGGCGCCGCTCCGCAACGCAGACCCTTTCCAAAACGCCGGCGAACGGCGGGCGGGGGGAGGGGCGGAGCGGAGAACAGGTAGAGCGGCACGTTTGCGCGGCCCTACTTCCTTGAGCGAGGAATGCGACTTGTGGCGGCCTCGGCCTCGCCTCGCCGGCAAAACAACGGAGGAGACTCTTGAAGAAAAAAAAATAATAGTCTCTTCCTCGTGCTAGCAAAAGTGGCCTCTTTGTCAAACGCGTGGCATTTCAAGATGCTTTGCGGAGAGCTTTGAATAAGCGCACCATGAACCAAGTTTTAGTATCAGGAAATGACAAAGTGGGATTTCCCCCCCCGCCTCCCGCTCGTGACGCGATGCTTTCTCACGTGACGCGGTCGTTGCTCTAATCCAAAAGGAACCAAGCCCGCGTTGCCCGGCAGCCCGCTAAGCAAGCGTTGAGGCCGTCACCGCGGGTTCGTGAAGCACCGCCGGTCGGGAAGCGGTCGGGAAGCGGTCGTTCGCCGATGCGTTGCCTTGGCCCGCCTATTCTGGAGTCCCAACAACAAGAAAGAGCCGCCGCTTTCTTCGCGGCGAGCAACAGGACGCGGTGCTCATTCCAATCGCATGTCTTCAATGAACAAAAGGTCACATCCGCATCGCCAAATCACAACATCACTGCAAATTTCCCCAGTGTGGGACAAAGAAAGGTTATCTTATCTTATCTTATCTTATCTTATCTTATCTTATCTTATCTTATCTTATCTTATCTTATCTTATCTTATCTTATCTTATCTTATCTTATCTTATCTTATCTTATCTCCTCGCGCATCGTCGTCGTCCATTTGGAGCACATTCTCTTTTTGGCCATTTGCTTTGACAAACGCTAACGACCAAGCCAACAGAGCGACCACATGATTGGAAATTCAATGTAGAATCTCATGGACATGGAAAACGGGTCAATCGGCAGTTGCCCAGGGAAACATTTGGCACCAATTCTGAATCCGTCCTTGTTTTTTTTTTTGTTCCTCCCATTGAAGATCCACTTTCACTCGGCCGTTCACGCCGCGATGCACCTGCGCACGGAGCGTTGCGCTCAACTCGACCGGTCCAGGGTCCGGCGCCAATTCTGACGGGATCGTCCTTCTGACGGAGGGTTTCCGCGGTTGACTGAAGGCCCGTCGACCCGCGAGCACGCCGGCCTCACGGCGCAGGATTTGATTGCCGCCCCCCGGCCTTCCCGCGTGGCGTTTGCATGTTCTCCCCGCGCCCGCCCGGGTTTTCTCCGGGTACTCGGGTTTCCTCCCGCATTCCGGCCGCGAACGGTTCTTTGTCCGCGCCTGCCCCGCGATCGGCCGGCAAACGGTCGAGGGTGCGCCCCGCCCACCGCCCAAAAGACGCCCGCGACCCTCGCGAGGAGAACGCGGCTCCGATCGCGGACATTTTTCTGCATGTAAAAGTTGTCAAGACGAGTTGCCTCACCGCCTTAAAGTGGCCTCCAGCTGCTCGCGCCGCAGTCTGCTGTCCAGGCTTCGGCCGACCAGCGAGGAGACGACTTGCTCGTACTGCTGCAGCAAAAGCGGCTTGGCGGACGCCTCCAGCGTCCGGTGAAGATCTGCGAGCTGCTCGCTCAGGCTGCACAAGGGGGAGAAGGGAGAAGGGCACCCGGATCAGGGCCGCGCAGGCACAAATCTGCACATTTCAGCGACATCGCGACCGCACGCTGCGGCGGCGGCTCGAGAGCCACGCGGCGCTCGTATCCGACTGTTTGAAACGAGAGCTACTTCTTGACGATGCCTATCAACCGTCTGATTTTGATCACGCGAGTGAAGAGACTACTCACGTCACGTGACCCGTTGTCTCACCGTCATCGGACACCCGTTTCACGAGGGAGGTTAAGCGCCACACATCAAGACGCAACCCTCGATTTCCGTCAATGTCAGCCACAAGGCTCCGAGTAGGACACGATGTGATGTGAGCGAGTGAGCGAGCGAGCTCTTTGTCGAGCTGCTCCCGAGAGGCGAGCAGGTCGACAACAATTGTGTGTGTGTGTGTGTGTGTGTGCCCGCGTCACAGATGAGGAGGCCTTTGTGCGTTTCACTGGACATTTGGGCCATACCTGATGATGCAGTTTAGCTTCCAGTTCACAGCGCAGAGTTTTGCTTTCATTTTCAAACTGGTGGCAGGGAACGTTCAATATTCACCCGAGGACTTGAACACGTGAGTACAGTATTTCCCGATCTTGAGCGCGGGAAAAAAAAAAAAACGCAAACGACGCGAGCGCGACGTCGTCCCGCTCCTCCTCACCTTGGGGAAAGAACGCGTTCGGTATCGAAGCGGGCTGCGAAGTCCGCCGCCGCCGCCGGCTTG